GCTTTTAACTTATTATAAATTACAAAATTGCCATCAATTTCTTAAAACAATTCCAAACCCAAAACCTCATAAATAAAAAACCCAAAACACGCACTAGGGTATCAAAGTAATTTAATAATCAAAATTTAATTCAATAGGGTCAGCTGTCATTTTTGGGTTTGTTTATATATATCATTAGTGCTAAGAATGGGTATATAACTAAATATCTATTCTTCTTCTTTTTTGTGTTTTTCTCGTTATCATTAATTATCATTAAATATTTAGACACAAATAAATGATCAATTGTGTCTTTAACTACTAGTGGTCATGCAGTATGTATTCTTGGTCTATACACACTTTATATGATTTTTAGAATCTTTATGCTAGCTCTAAACAATTAAAATTTTCTATGTATAATTGCAGAAAGAATTAAGGATGGTAGCAGTGGAGATGTTGCTGTTGATCAATATCACCGCTATAAGGTTGTAAAACCATAAAATTTTATTATCTGGATCTTGTGTACTTGAAGTTTAAGGACACAATGTAAACCTACTAAATTTTGGATTCTTAACAAAACACATGACATTAAAGATGAGATCCTAATTAGTTTTTAGCTTATTTCTTATAATTATATATTATTTATGTGTCAATAGGGAGATGTGGCGATAATGAAGAATATGGGGGTGGATGCTTATAGGATGTCTATCTCATGGTCGAGATTGTTACCAAGTAAGTTGATTCACTCTCAATATTGTACAAAACAATTCTTTTTTGTTTTTGTTTTAATTATTAGATGGTCGAGATTGCTCCGTTTATGTTTTGAGTTGTGATAAGAACTCTCGGTTGTCTTCTGTATAATAACCAGCATTTTGTTCTCAATTGAAATAATTAACTAAAGAACTGAACCAAATTAAATTAGAGTCCAATTTAATTAAGGCCAAGAATATACAGTTCAATTTTTTCGTTTACTTTAATTTATATGTTTGGAGATCTAGTTATTTTCCTATTTGTTGTATTTTATTTTAATTATTAGATGGAACGCTAAGTGGGGGCGTGAATATGGATGGGATCAACCATTACAACAATTTCATCAATGAACTCATACGTAACGGTGAGTAGTCATCTCACTTTACATGATCAATGATTGATAGTTAAAACTCTTATCATTTAATCAAAGATTTAATTTGCTTTTACTCATCATATATATATAGGTCTAACACCATTTGTAACAATCTTCCATTGGGATCTTCCCCAAGCTTTGGAGGACGAATATGGTGGTTTCTTAAGCCCTAAAATTGTGTAAGTGAACAAATTCTACCCTCAGTACATGGTAATGATCATTTAATGAAATACATATTACAGTAACATCTACATCTTGAATTGTGCATACTATATACAGCGATCATTTTAGAGCATATGCAAAACTTTGTTTTGAGAACTTTGGCGATCGAGTAAAACACTGGATCACGTTGAATGAGCCATACACCTTTAGTATTCATGGTTATGCATACGGATCCCACGCACCGGGACGATGCTCTGCTTGGCAAAAGCTAAACTGCACTGGTGGAGATTCGGCCACTGAACCATATTTGGTGACACATCACCAACTCCTTGCTCATGCAGCCGCTGTAAAATTGTATAAAGATAAATATCAGGTCAATTAATTACAAAATAAGACATAATAATTTGTATATTATTAAAATTTTCCTCACTCTAAATTAACAAAAAAATCTTGAATTTTCTTGCGTAGGCATCTCAAAATGGCTCAATAGGAATAACATTGACGGCACGTTGGTTTGAGCCTACTTCGGAGGCAATAACGGATATAAATGCTGCATTTCGAGCTTTGGATTTTTTTATTGGATGGCAAGTATATATTATTAATTTATATAACTACTCAATTATATGTTTTATTTATGAATTTACATGTTTTCTAGGTTTATGGACCCATTGACAAACGGTGACTATCCGCATAGTATGCGGTCAAATGTCAGAGAACGATTACCAAAATTCACGAAAGAAGAATCCAAGTTACTAAAAGGGTCATTTGATTTTATTGGAATAAATTACTATACTGCTAGATATGCAAGTAATGAACATGACATTATTTCTGCACATGAATGCTGCTTAACAGATCCTCACGTTAATATTACAAGTGAGTTCAAATTGAAAACTTTACTTCGA